AAAGCTAGTAGCAAGCTAAGTTAACATTACATAGCTGATGCTGAGCTAAACATGTTTGCTAACCGTCCATATGCGTTAATGTGACTGACCTCTCCGGGTGAGTTTTCAAGTGCCTGATTAAATGTGACGTTGTTGCACCAGCATCCTTGATTTTAATATTGCAGACTTTGCAGTGTGCGCTCCTTTTGTTGGTGCCGCCGGCGTTTTGTTCGAAGTTTTTATAGTTGAACCTAATTACAAGCGGTACAGCTGCAGGTGTGCCGCCGGTCGCCATGGTGTTACCATGATGTTAATGTTAATGTTAAAGGTGGGGTAGGTAACTTTGAGAAACCGGCTCGAGATACACTTTTTGTTATACTCCATGGAATGCTCTTAACATCCCGATAGCCGGTGTCAGTACCAGATATGTTCGGCCTACCAGATATGTTCGGGTGTATTTCCGTCGCATCCGTCATCCGTCATATCCGTCATATACTCACCTCCCTCTGCTCCCAGCGCTATGCTGCCACACACCGGCCGTCTGCGGAACTGCAGCCGGAGGAACTCGGTACAGCTTGTTATGTGTGAACGATCTAGATCCCTCCGCTTCCCCATAATTACCGCGAACATTTTAACTTTCATGACAGAAATGGAGAGCTTTTATGCTGAGATAAAGCAGTACGTGCTCAATGGTGGTTACCACAATCTCACCATCGCCGCTGAAAAGCATGATAAAAGGAAGGCGTTCATTCGGAGGGCATCCAAACAATACCTGATCAAAGGTAAGTAACAGAATAAGACCATGGTTAAGTCACGAACATACGTTTTTATTATGAGGTATAAACCCCCTGTACATGTGACATCATCACATCCCTTTACTTATAGGGATCAATAAAGTATATATCTATCTATCTATTTATCTAATGGTGTTTTTTGGTGCAAAAGTGATCATACCTCTAATGGTTTATCATATTGCAATTCCAACATTTTTCAGTAAATCGCAAGGACTCCACAGCTTGTTTCTCCTTTTTCTTTTTATACACACTTTACATTACTGTAGTTGTTACGTCTAAACCACATTTGCCACTGGATTTCTTGAACAGCTTTTAGTCATAATGTCATCTCTACACATGTCTAAATGATTGTTTTTTTGTTCCTGTTGTGCCAGCTGGAGATTTGTACTACACATACAAGGACAATGAGAGGATGGTTGTGTGCACCAAGGACCAAATTATCAATGTCCTGAAGGAGTGCCATGATAACCTGGGTTCCGGAGGTCATGCAGGGAGAAGGCGCACCACCGAGAAGGTTTTGGCAACGTACCACTGGTCCACTATGCGGGAGGACGTGAAGAAATGGGTGGGAGTTTTTGACTGACTGACTGATTATTGATCTACAGAAATGTGTTGTATGTGTACATTGAAACAGAGTGAGACAGTTTGAGCTCCATCAGAGCAGAGAAAACATATTTCAGAACTTTAACAGTTTAATTCTGTCTCCTCTGAAAGTTTTCTCTGTTCTATCATTTTATACCTAAAGTTTTTTGTTTTGCTGATTGAAAATGTATGATATTTGCTAAGGTTGATGAGTGTCCCCGCTGCCAGCAACACGAGGTCATTAAAACGGTTGCACCCGTACTGCATCCCATTCATGTTCCCGAGGCATGGACTGTCCTTGGTGTGGATCTCATTGGCCCACTTCCCTCCACTACTAAGGGCAAAAGGTACTATCATGATGGGCTGAAGCATGTGTAACCTCCTTTAAAGGTTCTAAACGTGAAGAATCTGGTTTAAAAAGAAAGGAAATCATTTACAGTGATTCTGTATGTATTTACAACATTCTGCATTTTATATTGCAGATACATTCTAACAGCGACTGATCTGTTCACGAAGTGGGTGGTAGCAAAAATGCTCTACCACAAAACAGCTGTTGAGGTCTCAAAAAAGATTGTGAATATTCTTCGAGATTTCGGTCTTGTCGAGAAGATCATTACCGACCAAGGACGGGAATTTGTCAATGAGGTACAATAATCTATCTAATACAGTGTATGTGTTATGTGTAACAATGTAATACGATTTTTCAGGTAATTTGGTAATTGGTGTACACTAAACCATCTGCAGGTCAACCGTGGTGTTTTTGATGCACTGGGTGTAAAACACTGCATCACTTCAGCGTACCATCCCCAGTGCAATGGCCAAGATGAGCGTACAAACCAAAACATAAAAAAAGCACTTGCAAAGTACTGTGGAGAGGACCAGAATGACTGGGATTTACATCTGAGGGGCATTGTGGCGAGCATTAACACCTCAAAGCAGGTACAATGTTGTAACAAATGCAGATGGAAACAATACTCAACAGAGATACTAAAAGGAATTGTTATGCTTTCAGAGGTCAACCAAGTGCACGCCCTATTTTGCCCAGTTTGGGAGGCACCCTCGCGTCCCGGGTGTTATAAATGCTACAGTCAATGACAGGGATGATACCTCTGTTTTGGTGCCTGCTGATGAGGCAGAACAGCAGCTTGAGGCAAAGGCTGCAACCATTGCAGATTTGCACTCGAAGGTGAGAATAAAATGGCAATATTTAAAACATAATAACTCCTAAAAAATGCAAGCGTATGTTAAGGACTGTAAATGATAACTGTTACATATCTTTCTCAGATTTACCAGAACATCCAAATAGCACAACAGAGACAGAAAATCTCTTTTGAAAAACGCAAGGGAAAGAATGTGAAATCTTTCCTGATTAACGTTGGAGATGAGGTCCTAAGAGCGAATAAGAGGAAGGAGGGCCGAAAAGGTGGAAAACTGGAGTGCAACTGGTTTGGCCCTTATGTGGTTTCCTCAATCACCAACAAGGGTGTGGCAACCCTGTTGAGCTCAACAGGAGCTCAGCTGAGACAGAGTGTGAATGTGTCTCAGCTGAAGCCCTTTATCAGGCCTATGTTGAGAGGTATTTTGATTATCAATACAAGGACACATTTTAGGTATACTTCATGTGTGGTACTTCAATAATACTGTTTATTTTTTGTCTATCTAATAACAGCTGAACCGAAGTTGGATTCGGAGGGGTCTGTTGCTGACCACCAGTATGCCCTCTCTGGTGCGAAATACGCAAAGGATCTACATCCGATTCAAGACAAGCTGGTAGATATATGTTTACTTCATGCACAGTGATGGAGGTGCATTGTTTTGATTTGAATTTTTCTATGTTTTCTATTGGCTTGAAGTATGTTTTGCAATCTGTTATTTGCAGCTCAGCTATGTGCTAGACCACAATAGGCCTGGAGCAGAGGTCATTGTGAAGGAGGGTGATGTGTGCCTGACCAGAGAGGACTTTTGGAGCCTGGGTCTTCCTCAGTGCATGGAGTCAAATGTAGGTATACTTGAGCTTTCCTCCCAACTTCATCTTGTCTCAAATAAATGGCACAGGTAACTTACTGTTGTTACTGTTTCAGATTGGAAACACGTGCCTGAAGATGGTACAAGAAGCCACCCAAAGACATGTACGGTTTTCAACAGACATCATTGGCCTGCTTTTTTCTTTTGAATAACACATATTTTCTAAATAGCTGTTTAGTGGTGAAACTCCAATCTCGTGAAGTGTGGTTGTCTCTTGTTGTTGAACATACTTCTATGAAGATTTCATTTTTTTTGAAAAACTAGCAATATAGGGCAAAGATATATACATCGTGGATATGTATGTGGTTCCTACCTGGAAGTCCAAAACAGCTGACGTGTTTGCTTTGCGTGAGTCTGTTCCAAATGATCTCACCAGCATGTACAAAATGAACATAAGTTGTGCTGTGTGGTTTTCTTCTGGTGTTTGATTATGTCTAATTTCAGCTATTTTGTCAATGGTTGACAGGTGATCAAGCCAGCAAAGAGAGAGTTATATTTGCTCGACCCTCTTAAGCCAGATGGCTTTGGGGACAATTCCTACAAGGACATATTTAGGTTTTTGTAACATGATTACCCCCACCGTTCTGTGGCTTGTATGGGAGTTCTAAATAGTTTATAGTATTCTAATACTGCAGTAACCATCTTGTAGACCAGGGGTCTGAATCTGATCAAATTCATTTATAATATATCTCCATTTCCACAAAGTCTGGAGTGTCCTTAGTGGAACCAAAAGAAAAAGAGTCTGCAACAGGATGCTATGAATTATAATGTTCATTTTGTTATAAGCCTTGTTCAAAGGTTGTTTTCAAGTTCAGCTTTGTTCAGAGGCTGGTAAACGTATTTTTGTTTGTTTTATTTTAGCCCCGTTCAGTGGCTTTCATAACTTTCCTCTTTTAAGGCATGCAATAGTTCAATGTAAGGAAATCCAAAAACATGAATTATATTGAGTATAGCGTTCCTTCACCAAATCAATTCCCATGTCTTATCATTTCTTTTGACAGTGACCTAGCGCACCGCATTGCTCCAGGTCAGTGGACAGTAAAGTTCGGCAGAGACGTCAAGGTACATTTCTCCACCATCTCATACACCTGCTTTCACATGTCTTTATTTTCCATTTGACCATGAACATCACTGTTATATTCCAAATTCTTACAGGGTTTGCCTCACCAAACCACGGGCAATGACTGTGGTGTCTTCATACTGATGGTAAATTCCTCCCTTGACACTTTTTTTTAAGGGGTTTTGTTAGTTTTTGAAACTCATAACTTAACAGATCTTTATCCTTTCACAGTATGCACTCAACTTCAGCACAGATGCTCCACTTTGGTTTACCGAGGTCAGTATTTATCCTCTGAGTTAGTATTTCAGGGGGAAGAGGGGGCTAACATTGAGTAGACAAATGATGAGGTTCCATTCATTTTCAACTTTATTATTGTTACATTTTCTTTTAGCGGGACATAGCACAGATCCGGAAATGGTGGTGCATTATGCTCATGGAACGGTACCAGATTGAAGGGTAAATCATACATTTTAAATGTTACTTTATAGACAACAGTTTCTTTGACACTGATTTACATTTTCATCCTGATATTATGTGATTTTATAGCCACGGACAGAGGTTTTTCTTACTGGACCAATGAGGCCGAAGAGCTGCTCAAAGGGGCACTGGAGCCAGTGTACAGGGTCTCAAAGAAGCAAAAGACAGAACATGAGGTCAATAGGCACACTCCTGTTTGTGATAAAGAATGTAACAATCCAGATTATTTAACACATGCATACATATCAATATTGATAATTGTATACACATGTAATTAAACAATCACATGACCCACACCTTATATTTTCCTTCAAAGGTCCAGTTTCAAAAGTCCGACATGTGCTTCATATTGGAGGTAATATCTTTTCAGTGAAGCAGTAACTGTTTTTTGTTTAAAAAACGACCTATGATCACGGCAGAATTTCCAACTATTATGTCTCACTGCTTTTTTTAACTTTATTGATAGCTGTTTTTTACCTCAAGGAGAAGAATAACAAAACATAAGAAAAATGTGTGTGATATATTCAACATTAATATTAAAAATGTGTATTTTTGCTACCTGAAGCCCAAAGAATCTTGGTATTTCGATTGTGCTGGCAACAGTCTAGTCAATGTGTTGTTAAATATGTTTGATCTAGTCTGACCAATACTTCACAGCTGCCAAACTGTCTTCTCTCGGACCTTCTGATGGAAGTGGTTCTCCAGGAAGGTGACAAAGCGTACTCATCACTCACTCTAGTGTGTACCACCTTCAGAGACACAATGTCCACTGTGTCTTTCAGAAGAGGGGCCCACTTTCGCTGGCTTGAGAGTAAGTGATTCAGTGAAGGTGCAGCAGTATACGACAGCTGTGGTGTCTATGCATATTTTTAATGGCTCTATTGAAATGCTTGTTTTACACAGGTGTTGCTACATGGAGTTTGTTCTCTGCTTCATACAAGCAGGATTTCAACGTCATGTACACCATTGACACCTGCCGTGGATGCTTGGAGCCTTACAAAAACTGCAAACCAGGTAGACTTCTTATTCTGGATAATAATGTTTATGTGTCATTACATATTTAGTGTGTTGTGGTCCTAGTGTGATTCAATTACAATATTTTCTTTTCTATTCATAGGATATGTTGGGAAAGGTAAAAGAGGAGAATTGCAGGGCATCTACTCTGATGACCAACATCCAGGCTATTGCAGTCCCTTCTGCAACCAGATATCATAGGTAAAGATTAACTCACACAAACAAATGTCAGAATAGACTAATTGTCACTGCAATTAATGAAGATCATCCTTTGATATCTTACCTTCAAGTTTGGTTTTCCCGGACGCTGCCCGTCATGGACTTCGGGTCGTGGACTTCGGGTCGTGGCTGAACCTGTCTCTGCAGTCCTGCCTTGGGTCATGCTGCTTCCCTGATGGCTTCCTCATATATTCTGAACAATCTGTGCTGTTTTCCTATCCACATGTAAAAGGAACTAGAAGGATTTCTTGATACTAAGGGCTGTAGAGAAAAGTTTGGAGCTTTTTCCATTAACGTTGAAGTTCAAATTCTCAATAAACACTTGAATGCTGTGCTGTCTTTCTATTTACTTGAATGTGTGAATTCATTCAGTTGGGTAGGTAAGCTTGGGATGGATATATTAAATATATACATACAAAAAATTAGAGACTCTTTCCAATGAAAGTAGCTAGCCGCAATAGCTCCAAGATTGCTATATCTAGTTTGTAGGTCGCCAAGTTGGCATCATTGACAGTTCGTCTCTTAAAGCCTCTAAAGCTCTGCAACAAAAAAGGATCATTATGAATGTAAATACTATACATGGTAATGCAGCAGGGCAGAGTGCGATGAGGCAGGCAGGCAGAACCAGATTTATTTCTAAATATTTGTCGATCAATATTAGGCTACACTAATATAAGGCTACTAGTATTATAATATTACTGCAATAATATTCCAGTGGTGGCTGCTTAAGGTTGTTTCTGGCTCGTTTGATCCAAACATTGTCCAAAGCTCAAAATGTATTGTAATAGATGTAAGAATTCTCAAAATGTACAATATGTTTTGATCCAACACAATATTCTGATTCAATCCATATATGTTAGGGGTTTTTTTTTCACCAAAATAAATAGACTGCCTTCTCTCCAGCTCACCGCACACAAAGGGGGGGGGGGGGGGCATCTGTATTAACGGGTCAGTCTATAAGCACTCTAACAGCACCATAAATTACATTTAAATAACCACAAAAAAACAATTATTGTTTCCGATATTGATTTAACGAGATGCTGTTATAACATGGAAACGGCTTAATTTAAAAAAATAAGCTTCAAAAATGTTTTATGAAGCACACTGGGTACAGCCCTGTAATACATGTGTTCCGTGTGTATATAGTCTTACGCAAGAAACACATAGCATGAACAGACTGCAACAAAACCAGTCTTACAAAACAGACTTCTGCTAAACTGGTGCAGAAGCAAAGCATCTGCCTTAGATGAAGTTCACACAGAACTGTGGAAAAGGGAGAACATCTGTACTTGCTTTCAACGACATGATCAGGCTTATATATTATAAAAGTGTTGGCTAAAGTAACGCAGAATATATATATTTTTTAATTGTAAATAATTAAGTACACACACATAACAAGCTGTACCGAGTTCCTCCGGCTGCAGTTCCGCAGACGGCCGGTGTGTGGCAGCATAGCGCTGGGAGCAGAGGGAGGTGAGTATATGACGGATATGACGGATGACGGATGCGACGGAAATACACCCGAACATATCTGGTAGGCCGAACATATCTGGTACTGACACCGGCCCAGCTAAAGTAACTGGATGGCCTACCTGCCTGTCAGCCTGCCATCGGGGCACAAACTTATCTCGTGCCCTCATTGGTCATGTGCGCGTTCGTGTGTGTTGGAGGAGGGGCTCTGTGAGGAAGTGGCAGATTTTCTCCGGTTGTGTATTTTCAAATTCTAGCGATCTCGAGCCGGTTTCTCAAACTTACCTACCCCACCTTTAATACGCCAAAAATAGAAAACACGATGATTGTTCACGAGTCCCAACACACGAGTCCAAGTCGAGTCCGAAGTCTTTTGAGCAGGAGTCCAAGTCAAGTCTGAAGTCTCTGTGTGTGCGACTTAAGTGCGACTCGAGTCCGAGTCACAGACTCGAGTCCCCATCTCTGCAGCATGGTAATGGTTTGTTGTTATCATGGATTTGATATGAACGAGGCGGCAGTTAGCAGCTAGCTAGTAATGATGCTAATGTACACATCAATCGTTATGTACTTATATTACGCTGTAACAGGATCTAGTGATATCCAACAGAGCTTCATTTAGCATGAAATTATTATTGCACTGTATATATATATATATTTATATACAGTGCAATAAGCTTCTTAGTGCAATACGAAGCTACAGGGACGTTAATAATGTCGGTAATATTAACTTTATTTAATACAACATTTACGGTACAAGATTTAATCATACAGCCCATGTAGTATGATAATGAATTACAGCAAACATGTGCAATATATCCATTATTACAGCTCCGTGGGATGGCAGTAAGACGATATGGATCCGTTCTTATTGTGCATCCATGGGTAAAGATAAACGCAACTCACATTGGTTTCTCATACAGCATCTCTAAACTACGTGTATTCTATTCACTGAATTTCACTCTCTGCCTTTAACGGCTCGTTGTAGCTCCAATAGTTCCAGCCCCACCCTCCCTGTGAGCACAGTGTGCTCTGATTGGTCGGGACACGTAACTTGAACGTGCCGGGCGGCGCGGTCCCGTGGGTTAGATGCGCGTTCATAATGCAGAGGGAAATAACTCTCAGAATAACGTTATTAGCAAATGTTTACAACTTGAGGAACGAATGTTTTTAATAAGGGCTATACAAGTGTTCATACTGGGTAGTTTATTTAGTTTAAAAAAAATTATCCAACGAGTTACAGACCACTCTTTCCCCATGTAAGTCAATGGGAAAAAGTGTTTCCGGGCCTGGCAACCAAACGGAAGTGTAGTACCGCCGTTTGGCCAGCACGAATATTTTCATCTGAGTCCGGCGCACTTCCTGGGGGCTTGATAAAACCCCGGTCATCACTGTCACTACCCGATCTGCAGCTCTGCCCGATCTGCAGTGCGCATGTGCGAGATGGTCCGCCATATTGGACAACTCTGGACGGCAACCCAAGTAGGACAATATTAACACAGTGGCTTTTGGCAAAGCTCAAAAGGAAAACTCGAGAGAGATGAGTTATTGTTATTACAACGTGACTTCACTATTATTTAACAACTCTTTTTATTGGGTTCTTTTATTTGGGGTTAAGTACATTGTCAGAATAAGTGAGGAATGAATTTAACTTCTGTTAGACAGATATGCCATACATTTTTGCACACATACACAGTAAATATGTATTCAGTATATGATAGCTGTCTTTTGAGATTTGCCAAAAGCCACTGTGTCAATGTTGTCCTACTTGGGTTGCCGTTGGGAGTTGTCCAATATGGCGGACCATCTCGCACATGCGCACTGCAGATCGGGCAGAGCTGCAGATCGGGTAGTGACAGTTGTCAATCACCTCTAGTATTCTCCAGTTCGTCATATCCACGTGTGGAAGAAGTAGCCTATGTAGAATCCTGTTTGTATCCTCCATGCAGCACCACGAAACTTTATTCAGATACTTTCACATATGTTGCCCAAATACTGCACTGAATGCAATTTGGATATTGCACTTGTCCATGGACCATGTTGCTATTTCAACAACAAAAAAAGTATAAGTTGTGCATGCGTTGGGATCTGTTCTCCTTGTAATAGTAGCATTTCCGAGCGCCTATGAAAGCAGCATTAGCTCCACCAACCTGTTGCAGAAGAAACGCCCCCCTCCTCCCTCTCTCTCTCTCTCCCTCCCTCCCTTCCTCTCTCTGCCTGTATTTCAACTGCAGTTTAGCCTCAGCTCTCACTCAGCTCTCTGCAAACACACAGCATTAACTCTGACACTAACTGACCCCAAACATGGCTGCTGCTAACCGGGTGATCGTTTATGGAGGAAGAGGAGCGCTGGGCTCCAAGTGTGTGCTGCATTTTAAATCCAAAGGATGGGTGAGTGATAGCACGCATATCCTAGCTTAGCTGCTAACACACTGCAAAATGATAAGCTAAGTGTGTTTCTATGTTTTTTATGAATGCATAGTGGGTTACTTCCATCGATATGGCTGCAAACGAGGAGGCAAACGACAACGTGATTGTGAAGTCCAGTGAATCTTTCAACGAGCAGGCAGGACAGGTGAGTTTTATAATGATTATTAACAATATTTGTTTTTGTTTAATGTTAAACTGATGGGCTAAGATGTAGGCTAGTAGTAGACCTGTTACAACCTGCAGCTAAAGTCTAACGGTTGTTATGAATGTTGTAGCTTATAAATAGGTTTTTAATAGCTTTTTTCTGCATTCAGTTTCACTGTGTGTATGCGCCAATGCTGCGTTCAGGTCAAACTGAAGAAAACAAGGAGGAAATGTGAATGTTGTTATCATTTTGTTGTGTTTCTCACCGACTTCGATAGTTTTGCTGCTCTGTTTAATGCTACTGAAGCATTAATCCAAGCATTTCGTTTTAAGATATAATTTGTAATTGAATACAACTTGAACTATATGTATTTGCAGCGGCTTGACAGGAGTAGTCCATACATCTTTTGTATATGCTTTGTATCTGGTTAATGCTGTTCTGATACTGTTCACGCCAACACAAATATAAAATACAAAATAAAATTATTAACACATTGTATTGATACATTATGAAGTGAATAATATAGTGGCACATTTTACTTCTTTGTTTTTAAATAATGTCTATATCATTTATATCTCTCTTAAAACAAGGACAACAGAGAGAAAACTATTTCAGGCAAAATGAAGGATCGGTCACATTGACATCCAGCACAATTGTTTCCTCTATACTTTAAAGTTTCCCTTAATTACTGATTAGTTCTGTCTATGTCAGGTCCTTGTACATTATTGCAGGAATAATTTAGCCAGGTCACATGCATTTTGTAAATTAGTTTGCATATCTCATGTAGTTTTCTTTGCCACAATACATTTTATTAATGTATTGTATTCCATTTATTTATCTCCTACTGCAAATGTGTTGCTGATTTTGTTTGTTGTTCTGAATACAGTGTACAATGTGTATTAAATATTTCCAGCTGGTGTATGAGCTGAGAGGTACTGGTTGTCGTTGAAATGCCATTCACTCCTGGCTCCATACATAAGACGTTCTTGGTTATCTCTCGTTTTGTCCGATAGGTGACGGCAGATGTGGCGCAGTTGCTAGGGGAACTGAAAGTGGACGCCATCTTGTGTGTAGCCGGAGGCTGGGCGGGAGGAAGCTGTAGCTCCAAAGGTCAAAGTTTAACCTTTTTGTTTGCTGTAACATTAATCATCAGCCATTTGTTTCCTTCAGCCATGCAGCCCAAATAAGTTGTACGGTAAATAGGAAGCAGCCGAGTGTTCTAGCTTAGCATAAATAATGGAAGGGTAGGAAACGGCTAGCATTGCTCTACCCGAAAAAAACAAAATCCTACCTCCAAACATCTCTTAATCTCTGCTCAAAAATGTATGTGTTGAAAAACAAAAAACTTGGTCTAATTCAAGAAATGATCGGTTTAGATTGAAAGTTTTCTGTTTTTCTACTAATTTAATATTAATACACTTAGGCAAAGTGGGAGGGCAGAAGGCATAGCTCCCGTTATAAGTTATCCTAGATGTTATTGAATTGTATTAGATAACATTCAATTAGATATTATTGAAGAAATAACTTTACAAATGTAATAAATGCATAGAAAGAATACTTGATAGAAAACGTGAGACTACACTATAATAAATAGACCAACCCACTAAAAATTACCAAAGGATACTATTTGCATCAGCCAATGAGATATAACGTGTTAATTTGCGCCTTTTTAGGTGCTGGTATTCAGATTGTGTTACTAATGGACAGAACCAGGCTAGCATTTCCCCTGTTTCCAGTCCTTGCTAAGCTAACAGACTATACATCTTATTTTTTACTGACAGACATGAAAGTGGTATTGATCTTTTTAAGTAACTCTCATATTTCACAGCGTATACCCAAAGTTGAACAAAATAAGATAATACATATGGAACTAGTGTGTTGGAAGAGCTATTCTTTCACACACAGTGACGTCACAGCTACCCACAATGCAACGCGAGCCATATTTTTTTTTATAAAGACGCCATTTTTCTGGAGGTGCAAAAATCCTGGCAATGCTATATAAACAGCTAGCTAATGTAGCCAGGCAGAGCGCACTAGGCAAGGCAAGGCAAGTTTATTTATATAGCACTTTTCAACACAAGGCAATTCAAAGTGCTTTACAAAAAATGAAAGACATTAAGAAAATGGCATTTAAAATCAATCATTAAAAAGAAAAGCTAATAAAATAAACATTAAAAGAAAAAAGTACATGGATAAAAGTTACAGTGCTGTCTAAGATATGAATAGTTCAATTAAAAGCAGCGACAAAAAGAAAAGTCTTCAGCCTGGATTTAAAAGTAGTCAGAGTTGCAGCGGACCTGCAGGTTTCTGGGAGTTTGTTCCAGATATTTGGAGCATAATAACTGAACGCTGCTTCTCCATGTTTAGTTCTGACTCTGGGGACAGAAAGCTGACCAGTCCCTGAAGACCTGAGAGATCTGGATGGTTCATAATTTAGCAGGAGGTCAGAAATGTATTTTGGGCCTAAACCATTCAGTGCTTTATACTAGGTTTTTTTTTCTGATTTAACGACCGAAGAAATCGCTGCATGTCTTCGGATTACATCTCTGGACTTGAGGGGTGTGCTCTAGGTCGTTACCAGCGTAAACTAGAGCTGTGTGGGTTGTTGGATGTACAATGTATGGAATTACGACCCTCAAAAGTGGCCTTCGGTCAATTTTGGCAGCATCTACGTCTATCTTCTGGAAACACCAGGTGAATACCCCACTTGTCACAATGTGGTATTTTAGAGTTGACTATATTGATTAAGGCAATCGACTATGATATTATGTATGCACCTCGCGTGAAATGGTTGATACCGGAAGTACGGTGTCGCCCTCGGCCCAAAACCCGTGTGTGTGTGTGAAAGAATAAGATGCCAGCTAATTAATATGAGGCTGTCCTTTTTAACGTTTTTTTTCCCACCTATCTTATAGATTTATACAAAAACACTGATCTGATGTGGAAACAGAGTGTGTGGACCTCCACTATCTCCAGCCACCTTGCCGCTCTGCACCTCAAACCGAGCGGACTATTGACTTTGTCCGGGGCTAAAGCAGCTATGTCAGGCACTGGAGGTAACACACACGCACACACACACATTAGTTGTTTACCTTTCTCATCATGATGACCTGGTTTGGCCACGGGTCACGTCAGGGTTTGCAGGGTATATTGGAGACTACATTGTGCGTATAGCTTTGTTGTCCAACCTGCCAATTCAAATAATGGAGGTAATAAGAAAGCGCCGCGGGGCTTTGACCGGGGAATTGACATACTGATCAGAGACACGGGGGATCTCGCACAGAGCTGACAACAATGTGAGGAAAATGTGTCGATAAAATAGATCCGAGAAGCAAAACAGGAGGTAAAAGGTAGAAAAGCTTATGGGCTCTGTTGTTTCTCCATCAGCCATCCTGTGCTCTGTTTGTGTCCTTGAGCAATTGACTCAACCCTGACTTACTCTACAACAGCAGGTGATTAATTAAAATGTAACTCATTCGGGTTTATTAAAACAGCTAAGGTCTAAAGAAAGCATAAACAACAAATAGTATAGGACTGGTTAACTGTGAGGAAAAACACAGATGGTCTCAAGCTGAAAAGAGATGATGTTGGTTAGTTCTCAAACTATAGAAAGCTTCAAATATCTCTTTAACAAGCGAGTACTGTCTGAGATAGGCAGCAGCACAGTTCGACAACAAATTGAAGACACAAACAGAAAACATATCATAGTTACTATCAGAACATCATACTACAAAGCATCTATCCAGACAGAGCTGCCTGATTCTTGGTCATTAAAAAGCACTTCAGAGAGACCAGCTTCACGAGTTTCAGCTCATTTTGCAGCTGGTTCTAAAACATATTTGAGAAGCATAACTAAACACCATTTTCCGAGCTCAATGTGGACTTTTAGGACGGTTAGCAAAAAAAAGGCCTTAAAGCAGATTTGTCCACAGCTACAGTAAATCACATTACATAACGTTGCAACCATGCGAGACACAAATCTTCACAGATGTGTAGTGGGAGATCATGATGAAGACCCAAGTTTGAAGATGGGTTTGAACGGAGAAAAGAGAGTATCAGAATGAGGTCATCGCTCATTAACTTGTGACTTTCTAATTCAATCACAAAGAAAGGATGAAGTACCTCTCAATAGTGATTCTTTTTTTTTTACCCATAAAGATTTGGGGAAAATATGAAAGTGTCTGGCGAGGAAGGCAGTAAAGGTCTCTGTATGTTGTTAATGTAGTTATTGGTTCGTTAATTATAGGTCAAGATGTGTAGATATAAGCTGCTTTTTTTTTAACCAAATTCTTGCACAAAGGTAGGTTTAAAACAGACAAATTAACAATTAACCCAAATCTGTTTGAATATAAAAGTTAACAGCCACAGAAACCCTATCTTCCCACTTTTTGGATGGAGTGTTGGGGAATTTGATTTTAGGCAGTTAACCATGGTTAATGCGACACCAGCCGGCCTCATGTCAGCCTCTGTGGCATCCAGACGGCTTTGGTTTGCTGCCATGTGATGCCCAGTCTCCCCCTGTGTCCGCGCTAACCGTGTGATGGGCCGAGATCCAACTCCACAGCAAAGCCCCGGCTCAGCAGACAGCACAAAGAAGGCACATGAAGTCATTTACTGCTGGCTTATGGAGGGAATGACTCAGCAGTTTTGACTAACAAGTGTGTTTATTGCACTGATGCAGTTTTGGGGTTCCTGATTTATATTGTTCTGTATTATTTACTGTGTAGGAACGTGCATAGCTGACTTTTTTTAGGGATTGTGAACGTCATCTAATTTCCACAAATCCCAAATGAATACCAATATCAAGAGCCAGATGTCAACAAATCTAACAAACACTGTTGGGAGGTTCGTCGTCCTTTCTTTGCTTTGATAAAAAGAAAGTAAGAAATTGATGATCATTGACCAGATCCTGATTATCCGTACAGCAAAAACGAGAAAAGCTCAAAATGATAACTAAATTACTTTGAAGTTTGTTGTTAAAAATGGGTTTTGAATTCATTAACACCAGGAAAACGATGGAAATATTAACAACAGATGTTGGAAATCACAAGCAGAGTATTGAAAGTGATAAAATACAAGATTTTATGGGGATTTAATGTTTTTTGTAGTGACCAAAAACAAGTTTTCTATTCTGAATCAATCATTAATTTCTATTTGTAACTCTAAACATGCCCAGAAATGGTTGCTAAACCTCGTGAAGGGCTTTTTAAAATAATCCTAACCTTTTGATTTAGGATTTTAAAACAGAAGTTGAGCCCTATACGCCAACAGGTCTTTTCCGTGATCACCATGTGACTTTTTTTACCCTAATCTCCAATCTGATTATCCTCTACATTTGGAAATGATAGACTTCAGTGTTTGTTTTTGCTATGTTTGTAAAATGTAATTTTCTTAAATGTTTTATGTGAGGGACTGCGGATGGAAATTAGCTCAAAGCTAAATCTGGCACTGTTACGCTTGACACATTTGAATGTTTTAAGTGTTCATTACTGTGCATTGTGCCTGCCAAATAAACGAATAAATAAAAATGGATGCACAGAAACCATAGTGTTTTAATTCTTACACATAGTAAATGAAGATTTGCCTAAAAATGTTCTGTAGTACAGGATTTTCAATCGCCTTGGATATAAAGAAACCTCTATATTGACTGTAGTGTCAATCTAGGACAATAAAATATAATTTGTAATGCATTGGCTGAATAAAGTCCTTTGTAAAGCCTCTCAGATTCTAGCTACATCTGATCTTATTTCCCATTTCATCTTCAAACCTATAAAAGTTGAAATATAGTTGAATAACGTTTTTACTGAGTAGATTGTGTGGCGCCACTTGTTTTAATTCAGTCACAAACTATTTCCTAGGTAGATATTGGTTCTAACTAAATATTTACTCTCACAGGTTACACAAGAACTAAGATAACATTTGAAGTTGGACAATGGATGCTCACTAGTTCATCCACATGTGACCTGTCACATACAAGAGGCTTAAAGCTGGGCCTTGAAAATCATAGCTGTGTTGATTTCAAAGTCCTACAATTCTATCTCATGCCTTCTTTTTGTAAAGCTTGTATTAAAATCCATGTCACCACCCCTTGTTCCCATTGGTCAGATCTGTGTAAGCCTGTCATAAGATTGGTTTAGTCGGTGGGCGGAGGCTTAGCATTCTTCAGAAAGCTTGTTAGATGTTTTGGGGGAAAAGCACTTATTGTTTCCAGATGCTGAAATAGAAAACATTTGTTTTAACTTCATCCAAGGTCTGTGCAGAAACATGGTGTTCAAGAACAGATTCACTTTAGAGAAGAGAACAAGCTGTTTTGTTTATCATGAAATTGAATTGTTTGCATCCTGCATATCCGAGCCTTTTATAAAACTGAAACATCCCTGGTTCAGTTTGAAAAATCTCAAGATGTTTCTTTCATGGATTCTCCAATTTTCTATCCACTTGACCTCCTGCTACTAAATCAATGTCATCCGCTCCTCGGCACAGTGTGTGATGCATCTGATGTTTCTTTGCAAACTGAATTTTCTTCCAGGACTCTAAAATAAATATTCTGTGTGTACCCGGCAGGCATGGTGGGCTACGGCATGGCCAAAGCTGCTGTCCACCAGCTGTGTCAGAGCCTCGCAGCGAAGAACAGTGGGATGCCTTCAGGAGCCGCTGCTGTGGCGATACTACCGTGAGTACTTCAGTGAGATGTTGTGTACACACTCGATACACTCAATACACATGTCCTGAGGGGATGATTTTAAAACATCACAGTCACAGGAAAGGGGTAATAGTCCACCAACGGGTCTTTTGAGTCTCAAATACCCTCAACCCGTGGCTCTAGAAATGTTTGTGGCTTGCTATCTTTTGCAGGAGTGGCTGTATTTGGTTTTTGAGGCGCAACAGTTTTAATAAATGGCACAGAATTTTGATTTGTTTAAACATACTTCTAAAATCATACTCGGAGCATAATTGACCCACTTCTTGATCGTGCATTTGTGAGAATTTAGAATTAAAATGCTAGATTTTTGGTAGAAGAACGTGGCACTATTCAATGACTGATGCCCTTCACTTTTAATAAAAAAAGTTTCTCTCTGAAGAGCCGTGAGTCACAGGATTATAAGATACGGCTGCCCCATGTCTGTTACCTTAGAAACAGTTCAAAACCGTAACTAAAGCTAATGGTCCATTATGACTTTTCAACTTTTTCATCCAGCCACGATACTGGTAACAGCTGTAGTTGTCTACAGTAAACAGATTTTGCAACTTTAAACGGCCCCTATTCTGCTTTTTGGGGTTTTCCTTTCCTGTAGTGTGTTAAATGGGTATTTGTGCATGTTAATGGTCTGCAAAGGCTAAAATCCCAAAGTTCCCTCCAGAGGGAGTTTCTCTCTCCCCCACTGCCTGAAACGCCTCCATTGACTCCTTTGTTTTCTTCCGTAACATAATGACATGGTGAAAAGAGGAGCTGCAGCATGAGAACAATAAAGACCAAAAACATATGTTTCTGTTAGGGCGGCACGATATTGGAAAAAACTGACATTGCGATATTTTTTCCCCTGCGATATATATATATATTTATTAGGGCTGTCAAACGATTACAATTTTTAATCAGATTAATCACAGCTTAAAAATTAATTAATCATGATTAATCACCATTCGAACTATGTCCAAAATATGCCATTTATTTATGTATATTGTTGTGGGAATGGAAAGATAAATGAAAGAAGGCGGATATATCCATTTAACATACAGTATCTATGTTTATTATAACATTGTTCTGCGTGTCAAAATGAAAGACAACCCACACACCTATCAATCATCAAACCGTGGGGTCTTAATTCATTACGTGTTGATTTCTATCAACGGGGGAATACTTCAGGAAAGTCGACAGAGGGGGGGGGGGCGGCGGCTAGTGGAGTACTTCGTGACCACAGAGTGTGAACGATCAGCTGTTTTAGCGCAGTTCTCCAGTGAAGGGGGGAGTCTCCCTCCGCAGCCGGTTGGCGTAGTTTTGGCACAATGCCGTTGTACAGACCGACGTTAACAGCAGCCCTGTCTGTGCACACGGAGACCGACTCTGTCGTCCGGTGATCTAACCGCCTTCTGGAAAAGCTTCACAAGTATGTCGGTACGCAAATGCGCTTTGTGACACAAGTGACGCATTTCACAAGTGACGGTACGCATTTCAGAGAGATTACGCACATAACCTGCGTACCAGTTATGTGCACCCCTGTACTACAGCAAAAGTATTCTCCGTCGGGACTTCCTGCAACAACACAGCGCCGTTATCAAAGATGTTCTATTGAGAAGACGATCACTACGTGACAAAAGTTTTCAAAACCGTGGCTACTGAAATCCATCTGACTAACTGCTGTCTGTGCAATTTACTCCGCGCGAGTTGGCAGACTTCATTTTGCTTACTTTAACATCATTTTTCATGGTGGGGCTAAGCCATTTCTTGGTATGGGTGTATTGTAGCCTACCCCAGCCATACCCTGGCGCTGCCACTGGTGGCACGTATGGGGCGGGCCATTCTACACATGCGTTAAATATTTTAACTCAATTCATTCAAAAAATTAATTACCGCCGTTAACGCGATAATTTTGACAGCACTAATATATATATATATATATATATATATATATATGAAAAAATACAGGAATTGAAGAAAAGACAGTTTATTTTGTCCGCAAACCATCCTGTCTTGAACTTTAATGCTATACAATTGGTATTTTTTTACAATATTTTACCGGATGAAGGATTTTAGTCACGGACTGCTGGATCTTAAGTTATCAGATGAGCTAGCTCGCTTATCCTGCTGTGATCTGATCAAGAATGGTTGTGATTGGTGGTTTGCTGTGCATGCAGAGCCTGCATGTCACTCACTCAAGTACCCCTAGCATGAGAGCCGCGTGAGTTTTCCTTTTGTAGCAAGCAGCAAAAAATAATTGTAACATGACGTGTTTGAGTTCATTTGCCTTCTTAATATCGCACGTCCTAAAAAAAAAAAAAAATGCACATCAAACGATGTGAATATCGCGCATGCGCATAACGCGATTATCGTCACGACACGATATATCGTGCAGCCCTAGTTTCTGTATCTTAATCCTCCGCATGAAGCACTGCACTATGTCACTGCTTGTTGGATGTTATTGGGGTTCATTTTACTGGCATTGTCATTGTTAGCCATTGAGTTCATATCCAGCAGCACTGTTGTATTAAAGATATACAGGTCTGAGTTACTGTTGAGACAAATATCTTATATGTTAAAGCCTCATGTTGTGCTCAGGGTAATAATTATGATATTTAGCATAAATATGTTGCACAGTGCAGCTTTAAATTCTCTTTTAGCAGCCAGCAAAAACAGTCGGAATAAAAAAACAATGTGCCGTAGAATAAAACCGCGACTCAGATTTCTATGTTGATGCCATGGATAAGTGCTGGGTGGAGATAAGGACTGACAGATGGAACAGGCTGCAGATCTGTTGTGCTGCCCATGATCTGTTTTGGATGCGTTACGCTCAGTCTCTTTTGCATCATCGCCTCCTCTGAATTTAAAACCAGTTTTTGCAGAGTCATCGTGACACTGGTCCTGCTCTCTCTCTGGTTGTATTCTCCACCATCATGAGGCTGCAGTGAGTCTTCCTCAGCTGTCACATCTGTTCTGCATTAGCCCCATGACTTGCATTTCTGCTACAGCCTGCATCCCCACCCCCACTCCCGCTGTACCATCATATACCAACACTGCATTGCATTTGTTCAGCGGAAAAACAAGTCATTATATTTACAGCTGCACCAAATACTCATTGACGGAATACAACGGCATATATATCTTGTTAATTGATAATAGTTGGGCAGAAAAGGCTTTTTTCAGGCTCTCAAATAAGGCGACTTCCTGCATTTGTTTTATATCATATTTAAGTGAGTACTTTTGGACCTTTGTCTCACAAAAGACTCAAAAGACTCAATTTCTTAACATTTTTAGAGACCAATCAGTTAATCAGCCTCAGTCTTTCTACAATAATATTCAATTCAAAACCTTTATTTATCCAGGTCAAATCCCATTGAGATCAATGATCTCTTTTTCAAGGGAGACCTGCAGCAGTAGGTTCCACAAGAAGACATAAACAACAGAACAACAGAACAACACAAGGACATCATACAGCAAAATGTACAGGGATTACAATTTACATATTTATCCACATGTACAGGTACCAACAGCATATATATAATATTCTGCTCTATTAAAGCTATGTTCTTGTTGTTATTTAAATGGATCTACGAAGCATATGCCCATTGTAATTCCCTCAGAAATACTACAGAAGACCTAGGTCAGGATGTTTTGTTGATCATAAGCTGTTGAACAGGAACGCTGCATGTTAATATCAGAATAGTTCTAAAGGTGAAAAGAAAAGCGGGCAGTGTGGAATTGATGAGTGATATTGAAGTCGTGGTGTGTGTGTGTGTGTGTGTGTGTGTGGGTGTGTGTGTGTGTGTGTGTGTGTGTGTGTGTTGTGTGTGTGTGTGTGTGTGTGTGTGTGTGTGTGTGTGTGTGTGTGTGTGTGTGTGTGTGTGTGTGTGTGTGTGTGTGTGTGTGTGTGTGTGTGTGTGTGTGTGTGTGTGTGTGTGTGTGTGTGTGTGTGTGTGTGTGTGTGTGTGTGTGTGTGTGTGTGTGTGTGTGTGTGTGTGTGTGGTGTGTGTGTGTGTGTGTGTGTGTGGTGTGTGTGTGTGATGTGTGTGTGTGTGTGTGTGTGTGTGTGTGTGTGTGTGTGTGTGTGTGTGTGTGTGTGTGTGTGTGTGTGTGTGTGTGTGTGTGTGTGTGTGTGTGTGTGTGTGTGTGTGTGTGTGTGTGTGTGTGTGAGCCCGCCTCTCTTTTCTCTCTCGCTGCCGTCACTCCCCTGATTGTCATCTGCCTTAATTTGACAGGGTTACCTTGGATACGCCGATGAACAGGAAGTTCATGCCTGACGCAGATTTCAGCTCCTGGACGACACTGGAGTACATCGCAGAGTGAGTGAGCGGATAATAAGTCATCGTGTGATATACAGGCTGGAGAGAGCAGCTGTGACATGCTTGCATAGATGTTTTCATCAATACAAATCTATATAATGTTATTTATTTTTGCTATAGTGTCGTTTTTAAAAGTGGTTCTAGTCTAAATGGCTGTATTTGGTTTTAAGTCATAATGGAAACATCATGAAATGCACACATCAGTGCTTTCCTTAGATTCTTGCATTGAAGATAGGTCCACACTCCAATGATATTACATTATCAATCTCGTGTTTGTTTTGTTATTTACAGTACATCACTTGTCTTGAAAAAATTATAATCACCATTTATTTCTAGTTATTACAGAAGAGGATATTGTTTTTCGAATAATCTGCCAAACAATTTCTGAATGAATCTGTTTTCTGTAAAATATCAGTTGTGATAAAAAATGTAATTTAAATTTTTAAACGGGAGTTTTAACGTTTTAAAATTCAATTACACTTAATATACCATTACAGTAATCCAACCTTCCTGTAGTAAAGTAGGTGTTCTGTAAGCTTTGTGTAAATATTCCTGGGTGCTGGATGGTTACTCGCATTCATGTCAAATGTAACATACAAAAAGAGAAGGAGAGAGAATCAAAATGTGACATTTCTCCGCTAGATGTCTGGCAGTGCAGAACGATTGACGTCTGGGTGTTTGTGTTCCCTGCCGGCTCATGACTGTAGCTCATACATTTTTCTGTCTTTGTTTGTATTATTTATGACATTTATTCTCTTACTTATACTAGCCAAACACATCTACATCAAACATGTAATCCTAGTCTACACCATGAACCATTTACCTTACAATACAGATGTGTGTCATGTTGTTTTCTTAGGATGTATTACTGTCAAAACGAATGCAAACTACAAAAAATATGCAACAGGTGATTTATATTTCTGTATTCATCCATCTATTCTAAAACAGGGAAGAGAGGATTTGATATACATGTATTTATTTCACTTTTGTTACATTTTGAAAACAACAAAAACTAGAACATGGACTTAATTGAAGTACCATTTTAGGTCATGAAAACGTCCTGAATAAACCCTGGCTGCTTTAAGACAGACGTTGGTGTTAAGGCTTCGTGTCGGGGAGATTAGACGGGATTTGATCCAGTTTGATAATCCCCGAGGAAACAGATGAGGGTCTGAGGACAGGAATAGAAACGGCTGCTGACAGGAAATGAAGGGACGTAGTGCTTCATTGTCCATTTTCCCCTTAAAATACAAATGCAGTGCAAATGCCAAACTTCATTCATAAAACCTGAATATGTTTATATCTACAGTAGTATACACTATTGCTTTGGAAACACACTATTGTATGTTATTGAATTGTATTCTATTTTACTTAACCTTGGAAATAAAATCTCTTTTGAGCAATACCTGCAAACAAACACACCATTTTTCACTAATCGCTCATTCAAAAATAAGAAAAGGGGCAACTTATTTATGATATCAAATTTAAGAACAACAATTGCACTTTATAGTTACAGTTGTATCAGGTCTGGTAGAGTTAAATGTAAAATACAAGTACATACATACTGTAAGTATTTTAATATTTTGTATATACTTTTTATTTGTGTAATATAATGGTTAGGAGTTGTGATAATGTTAGGAAAATATCACTCGTCACCGGCTTGAGCTTCAATATTCAGGATACACGTATTTATGATCCTCTCAAGAATGGAAGTAGTCGTCACATACAGAGCATCAACTAGTTCCTGAACAGTGTCCTTCACATGCTGATATACAAGAGAGGGAGTTACACAGTCACAAGATGGAGGAATAGAAAGCAGTATTCAATGTTTACTTCAGATTGGCAAAGACCCACGTCAGAAACAATCATGCTTGTCATATGTCTAACTCCTTAGAGGCTGAATCATCATGTTAATCGTTCTCACACAACTATCATATGCCTAAAACAGTGTCACCTTCTCATACATCCTGTTGCGTACACAGCTACAGTTGGGCCTTTTGTTATCATGTGCTACTCTGATATTGGAAGAGTACAGATAATATACTTTTTAAATGATACCCAGCTCTATTGTTCTCTAATAATGTTTCCCTTCTCGGTTTTCCTCCAGAATGTTCTTCAGCTGGGCCACAGGAGTGGACCGTCCGGCTTCAGGCAGCCTGATGCAGCTGACCACCTCCGGGGGGGAGACACAGGCCGTGGCAGCGCAGTGAAGACAGAGGAGACGTGATGGGGGGAGGGAGGAGGGAGGAGAGGTAGAGAGAGGTGAGGAGAGGTAGGGAGAGACAGATGAGAGATGTGTAGAGAGAGGAGGAGATAAGGAAGGGGGTGTGGAGGGAGAGAGATGGTGACAGAGAGAAACTGGGTAAAATAAGGAGGTGGAGAAGAGAGGGCTAGATGGGTTTGTTTGGGAGGAGGAGGAGGGCTTTTTATTGTAAAAGCAGCATCAGAGCGCCATCTAGCTGTAAACCCTGACGGTGAACTCCAGTGTTATATGTCCAGTAATGGAATGGACGCTCTCTCTCCACTCTTTCACAACAAATATGGGAAATTAGCTAAAGGATTCTTTCACAGATCGGGGAAGAGTGTTCAATGAAAGATATTTCATTTAAAATGTGTGTCTAGCTCTTTTTTGGTCAAGACTGTGTGGCAGCATTCACCGATTTAGACTAGGTGTATTGGTTAAGCACCCTTATAATGCTGTCATTGCAGTGTTATTACAATAAGGATAAAGGAAAACAAGAAAGGCCAATATGGCTTTACGTTGCGTACACAGCGTCACTTCACACACACATTATGTCGTTGATGTGGAAGTGTTTCAGTGTGAGTGCAAAAAACGTTACTCTTGCCATTTGTACCACCTGCAAATCTAAAGTAGAGGAAACACCTTGAAAACAAGGAACAGTATTTACATCAACAAGGTGCTGTCACTTTGATTCAATTGGAGAATTTGTATGCTTTTTAATAGCATTTTTTATGTTTTAAACATTTATTTTGTATCTTTTGCCAAAGAAAAGTGTTTTTATGCTTTCAATAATAGAAAGAAAATCTGCATTTTAAATAATTTGAGTTTGCCAATAAAACTGCAATCTGTGCATCTCTAAGAAACGTGCTAAAATGAATAAGCTGTCTCCTAAATGTAAATCAGCATTCATTCATACCTTCATTAGCTGCAGTCATTTCCTTTACCATCCGTGAAACCCAACACATGACGGGGTCAGTGAGATCTGTAGAGCTTTTAGTTTGTCGTCTGTTTTTCCTCCCTGAACGTCCTCAAAGAAAGCCGCTGTCTTCTTCTCTCATACGGACCATTCGGTTTAAAGTGGAGTGGCCTTGTTTCCTGTTTGTAGCAACAAGTCAAAGTGTCCTTGGTGTCCACGGTGTGAAAATAAGGTGCTCTGTTCCTGTTTTTCTAAGTTGTGTTTGGTAACTGTGTCAAATTCTCAATAAAAAGAGTCGGAATACAATGAAAAGTTTGAGGTTCAAAGTTCATTCTCCATTTTGGAAACAGCAGTCAACAAAATAATGTCACTTCTAGGTCCATTTAGAAGCTTTTAAGTATTACTTTCTATGTATTGCTGCATTAAGTCCACAATCTGCCATTTAATTTGAGTTTTCTGAGAACGTGTAATACTTTTCTTCCATGTTTGTTTAAAAAGTTTAGCTCAATCTTGGCCTTGTAAACGGCAAATAATTTAACTCTCTTCGAAGGTCATTTAAAGCTCCAGAACTGCTGCTAAATGGACCTTTTAGTTGGGATTGTTTTGTCAATTAAATGGTTTCACAAAAGTCATTTTTCGGGGGAAATTAAAAAGTTTCCTAGGTAAACAAGGCTTGTGATCCATGTGTTATTTGTGTCAACAAATGAAATCCCAAGAAAATACCAAAACCTACAAAGTGTAAGTCCATCTTGGTACTTCAATGTAGCTCTCAGATTTATTTTGCCGATTGAAAAAGGTACATCTAGAAAAATGGTTGAGTATGTACTTTTATTTTTGGAAAGAGCAAAGTATCATTCTGGAAAGCTGGGAGTTGTAGTTTTTGTAGTAGCAAATGTTACTAAAAACAGGTGTTAGGACCTCAGAATAAATCCTCCACTAGATGGTGCTGTTTAATAAGACTCACCGCTGCTCTGCCAGTTGGTTTTTCAGTAGAAGTATTATTAATGAAATGGATGAGTTTACACTTGCAGCTGAGCGTGCACCGCCATGTAAACACTGTTTAAAAATAGCATGCCCTTTTAATGCATCCACTCAATACATCCAGGCCTTTCACCTTGGTGGATGTAAACCCAATGAATTAATTTAAAAGTTGGATTATGACAAATAGATTGTTTTACAGTCTCATTCCTATCTGCACAAATATGTTGCTGAGCCATATATTCACCTTCAGAATACACACAGATAGACTGCAGCAGGGCTTTAGTCTTAAACTCTGCTATTTATTTAGGCCGGCCACACTTCTTAGGGACTATATGGCCGTTGACAAGCACACTGCAATAAATCACCATGCTGAGGATTAATAGGAAAGAGCAAGAGCGCCCAAGCTCACTGTAGCTGATATGTATTTATTCTAGGCGGCGTGGCAATTCATCTCAACGTGTGTGTGCAGCCCTGTGTGTATGTGTGTGTGAGGGCCCAAGGCGAATTCAACACGCCTATGCATACATCACCTCCCATGATGCCAGCACTATAGAGTGATTGCCCATGGGGATCGAGTCAATGTTTATCACAGAAAGCGTTTCAGCTGATCAAAGATTATCTCTGAGACAGAGCATGTTGTTGCTGTTTCGGCGGGGGCAGATAAACTGTCACCCAGCGCCACAGATTCTATTGTTTCGTGCAATGTAAATCTATGAGGAGCAAATTATTTGTATGTCACATGTGCAGCGGTGTGCTAAAGAGAATTTATCCGAGGTAACTCTCCTTTCAAGCTGCCAGCAGTGCGTTGTTCACATCTCATCTTTGGAGGCTGATGGTGAGTATGTAAATGCAGGGTGACTGATGGGATTTAAGGGTGTCTGTATCGTGCACACTGGTAAACACGAGAGTCATGTAAGGACAGCTGGATTGTATTGGGAAATGGGACAGTGCAAATTTCCTCCTGAGACCCTGCAGTTTATTTCTGTCCTCTCTGGGGGATGTGACACTGAGGCCTTTATTTCAAACACCATGTGTGCAGTTTGTTTGAGTCCCGAGGTAATGTGGAAAACACATCCTGGGATTTCTAGTGATGCAACACACATGGGGGTCGGACCAACAGCAGCGCTTCTGTCTTTTCAAACCGTGGGAATTCAGCAAACATGTGTCATGGCATTAAGGGAGTATGATGTCTTCATACATACTATTTATGTTCTCCATAAAGAGGTCATTTATTAAGGGCAATCGTGTATTCACATTTTAAAATAGACATGTTAACCCATGTTCTTTGTTGGCCACAGTGAGACATGCTTCTCATTCTTTATTTCAGGAAACAAAATCATTGAGTGAGGCAGGAAAGATTTTGCAAACAGTTTTGGGAGAGAAACTCCCTCTAGAGGAAATACAGGGATTGTAGCCTTTGCAGACCGTTTACATGCACAAAAAACGACATAACACAACAGGAAAGGGAAAATACCAAACAAGTACAATGATCTCTTTAAAGAGCAACTTGCAGGTTTTTTTTTTTTTACTACATTTATGCTTAACCTTGCCTGAAAATTACAATTACAAATGTTAATGCAAGATTTGATATGTTTTACAAGACATAAGGGCAGGAATTCAGAGGAAAAGGAGCCGTTTTGAGCTCTGCTACTAAAAACTGCTTTTTTTTGTACGTCATACGTCAAACGCGTCATATTACGTCACATGGGGGAGCAACTTTCTCGGACTCGTTCTCTGCCTAATCCGCGGTAGTAGTTTGTAGTTGGTTTGAGCGGTTGTGATTTAGTGAGCTGGTATTTTTTCGGTAATTTTACATTGCATTTCACCATTTGTAATCATGGTGAGCTTGTGTTTGTGCAGGTTAAACTCGAGCCTGTCCGGACATCGAGTCCACAGTTTCCCTCAGGGGAAAAGGACCGGAGCTAGCGTTCGTTCCTGGGTGCGTTGTGCATCCACCTCCCTGCAGCACATAGCCTACTCTCCACAGCTTTATCAGGAAACCGTATTACATATCTCTCTCCCCACTTCGCTGCTCTCTCTCTCTGCCCTCCGGTACACGGCACCGTAAGACGTAGTGTGGAGTTGCATTAGGTAACGCTGTGGTGGCTGTATACTGCTCCAGCCGTCTCCTTTGTGTTTGTTTGTTTCCCCCTGTCTGTGTTGTTTGTGTGGGCGTGGTGGCTGTCACTCCTGGCTCCCGGCTCAACCTCCACTCACCGCTGCAATCAGCTGTGCACCCTCCCCGACCTGCTTTCCATCAAGCCATTTACAACGACATATCAACGGAGGCTCCACAACCTTTCTCCGCCAGATCGTCAAGTATCAGCCGTATCTCCCCTCCGGTACACAGCACCGTAGTGTGGAGTTGCATTAGGTAACGCGAGATACGGCTGATACTTGCGCATTAGTTTCTGTTATGGATCAGTATCAACAGTCCTGCCAGTAACGTTACTATATTATCAATACTACTTTAGTTATAGCCTGATATGATTGCTAACTTTACAATGTTGTGATGTGACTGACGTTAGCTAACATTAACTGTAGCTAACGCCGGTCACTCACCAAGACAGCTGCTCTGTTCGCCACTGGTTCTCCACACACCAAAGTTCCATTTCTCTCCGATGGCCGTTATTTTTTGTAATCCTTGGCTGCTCCTGGTCTCTTGGACGCATAGCAGGCTCATAATTATAATCATATGCATTCGAATATATATTTTCAACCTCTTCTGTGTCAAAACTAGCATTGTGAACTATGTTTATTCGTACGTTAGACCGGCCGCTCTCCCCCATGTTACGTCACACGCGGGAGGTCACGTGCGGAGGCTTTTTTATGCGGAAGTGAAAATGTCTTACTAAAACGACGCCAGATGTCACTGTAGTGTATATTTCTGTATATTTTTTTGAAAATCTAGTGTATTCATCATTTTCCTACACATTTATTCACTGGTGTCTCTAACCTGCAAGTTGCTCTTTAAAACATTTGTTTCCACGTCTCAAGAGGATATTGATGTCAATATTGCATCACAATTCACTTAAAGTGGACCTCATGCTATTTGAATAATATATTGTAGCCTTATATAGACATGTCTGTGAAGTTTTTTTTCAAAATACCAAACAGATCATGCATTATAGCCATGCCTCATTTCGCTCTATTTGCTCTTTTCCAGCCCTGTTTCTGCAAGGGCTGATTCTGTGGCAAATGAGCTGCAGCTGGCAAAGGAGGGGGGCAAGGCACGAGCTTCATGTTACCATGCTGTTACCATACCACGCAACCTCTCATTCCCCTGATAGGTGGAGAGTTACCCATATAGGCGGAGCTCCTCGTTTCTGACGTCAGAACAATTTCAAATCTGTATCAGTCTGGATCAGATCCGTTGCAGCCCCGTTTTTAGAGATTTGGGTAAGGAGGAAAAGAGAGAGGGTTGTGTTTTCTGACACTTGTTGAGTTCCCTGACACACCGGGGACACATATTCATGTATAAAAGACGTACAAAAGTGCATTTTGCATGATAGGTCCCCTTTAACGATCGGTAAATACCCTGTTCACTCCATTGAATAAATATCATAATAATCAGATGGGTTAACAAGTGGTGCTGATTGGAGAGCCAGAGCCTCCACAGCGGTAATAATAAAAAGAATGGCAACCATGCGGCGGGAAGTCTTCTTTGCTGCTTTTGTGGCAGGAGTACAGCGCTTCTTACAGGCCTGGCATATGTACTACAGTCTCGTGTGAACGGACATGTTTCTGGTGCCTGTTGCGTGTGGACGGAATACTTTTTTGATAACGATTGCGGTCCGTTTGCATTATCGTCCTCGTGTGGCTCCAGCCTAAGTAATTAAGGTTTATTTAAAGCACCTTTCGCAGGGTCACAAAGTGCTTCTCCAGATTAACTTTTAAGAAAATAAGACAATAAAAAATGTAAAAAGATACAAGCAATAAAACGGAAGCAACAACAGGCCGTAAATACACCTGAGAGCACAGGGTCAGACTCAGGCCAGTTTATATAGGTGAGTCTTCAGCTGCAGATTTTATGTCTGAAGGAATAACATAAACCCCGACGTCCTTGATTTATCTTCCAGGTGACCTTTGTTGCATACCATCTTTCTTTCCCCTTATTTCCTGTTATTTCTCCACTAAAAACACTGTTACACAGCCATAAAATAACCAGACATACTTTGAAAAATCCAGCTTTTCAAAGAGCAAAGGTTTTCTAATAAAAAAAGATACTTGACCACAACGATGCAACAATCCTGTAAATCCAATATTACCATAAAGCAATCCTGCTCAAGGATTTGCATTTTTTCCAACAATGTCACAATACAAGCACAGAT